ATATTTATAGCCAACTTTTCCTCTGGGCCTGCTTTCCTTCCTGGACTGAGTCTCCATTGCAGCCTGTTTTCTGTGCTGTATCAGGCCCTTGGATAGCCACTATAGAATGGCTGAGCCCTTCTCAAAAATTATTTCCCCCCCAACTGGTTGGTAAAATGAGATAAGTTCTACTTCCCTCTATGTACTTCCAGGTCACCTTTGGATTTAGGCTTGAATTTAGCTCTTTCCCATCCTGTTTGGTCTGTTGCTTCTTTTATATACTCTCTGACTTCTTCATCTTACTTTTCACTAGGGAGGCCTCCTGACCTGTTGCCTCTAGAGCACTATGAACCTTTAGCCCCATATCTCTGATAAGCCCAGCTCCTGAGGGAGTTGCTAGTATACTTGTGGGGAAAACAGACCTGGAAGACACAGTGCACACTTGCTTCTGAGACTTGTGATGTAGTAAGAAATAATATACTTGGATGGGAAGGGGAAACAAAGGAAGAGGCTACAATGCTTGATAAGAAATGTACTCATTATCTTGCCCATGTAATTGTAACCCCTCTGTACAGTATTTTCACAATAAAAAAAAAGAAATAATATACTTGGTGTTTTTGCTAGTTCCTAGTGTAGGGCTCCTAAAACCATTACATAGTGGTAAAAAAGAAATTTGTGCAATGTATAATCAGCTCTTTTCAGTCATATCAGAATGTATGCTAATGAGGTGACTCTAGAAAGTAGGTCATCTGAGGAACCAATCATGTGATTAGGAATTAGACTTTTTAGTCCAAACCCTAATCCTTCACTTTGCTCCTCATCATTTTGGGGAGGGGAAAAGGCTCATGACTGAGTTCAGTCCCCAGTGAGTCAATGAGCAGTGCTTTAATCAATCTTGCGTATCTAATGGAACCTCAACAGAAAAATCTTAGAGAATGGACTTAGGAAAAGTTGGCAAAGTCATGCAGAAGGCATAGAATTTTCTTGAATTCTTCACTACCCTGTTCCCTGTTCTCTTCCATTTTGCTGTTCCTAAGCTGGATTCTTTTAAATAAAGCAATAAGTAATATGTGTCTTCATTTTATGAGCCATTCTACCGAATTACCAAATCCGAGGAAAGGGTATAGAAACCCCTACTTTGTAGCTAAGGCAGTCAGAAGTGGGTGCAGGGGAGCAACTTTTGACGGGCATCTGTAATAGAGCTAGCCCTGTGCAACTCAGCTGTCAACTTGTGGGATCTGATGCTAACTCGAGATACATTGGGTCAGAACTGAATTGTAGGCGACCCAGTTGATGTCCAGAGAATTAAAGAACTGCTTGGCATAGAAAAAGTCCATATATTTGATGTCAGAGGTATTATGAAATAGCTGAAATCGAGTTGGGAAGGGGTTGTTGTTTATACCCCTTCCTTCTTGAGGGCCAGGATTACCCCATCATCATGGATTCTTTGGTGATGGAAAGTCTAACCTAGATAAGGAGAAATAAATGGCTATTAGCTGCCTTCCAAAGGGGAATGGCTAGTGACCTTGTGATTGCCTGGGCTTACAGAGGAGGCAAAGGCCTAATATTGACACTATTCTTACCCAAATATCCTGCCATTGCCTCAGACCCAGCAGGTCTAGAATTGAGTTCATCAGTCCTGCCCAGAGCAGGTTCCCCAGTCTCTCTGGCCCAGCTCCTGAGTCATAATGAGAATACACCTTTGACTCATGTTTCACATCAGGCCAGCTCCCACGAGTCCACCCAGCTTGTTGTTTGCCAAGTACAAGCTCATCACTGGCAGAGAGCCCATGTTCTTCTAAGACCCTTTTATTGTAGCTGGACATATCATAGGACTTTAGGGTTTGTCCTCTCCTAATTCCCCACTCTCAGTTTTTTTTTTTTTTTTTACCATGGCTTAAGCCCTCAACTGGGGCCAATCATAATTCCTCAGTGGACCTAGAAGGTTGAAATGTGTTATCTTTCTTTAAAAATAAAATCTTTTTGTCACATTCCTATCAGAGGCTCCCATTAATTGAGGTGTTGACTCATTTTGAGAGGATGGATGCTCCCGTATAAATCTCATCCACCATTTTGACCATAGGCAACTACATCCTGCCCATACATGGTTTCCTGTCTTTCCTGCAGCATTCTCTCTGCCTGGAATAGCATGCTTCTGAGAAAGCTCCTCCTTGTCCTTCAAGATTCAGGGAAACTGCATCTATCAGCACACCTCAGAGCGTGTCATAGTTATTTGTTCATAGCTTTGTTTCTCTACTATATTTTGCAGGCCATGGGAACAGGGACTAGTTCTGGCTTATCCTTATCTCCCATGACGCAGCACAGCAGAAGTTCATAGGATGTTGACTGTCTATATGTTTATTCATAAACTTCTTTGTGCCAGATACTCCTCTAGGCACTGAGAACCTAGAGGTGAAAAGGTCAGACAGCGTCTCCTTGCTTCTGTGGGTACGGAGACCTGATAGCAAGAAAAAAAATTATATGGATTAGTTTCTTTGGAATTGTTCTGCTTTAGATGAGAGGTGTTCAGGGGGAGGGCTTGATGAAAAGACACCTTGGAGCTGAGACCTGAAGGATACGAATCAATTGGCCATGCAGGACGCAGGGGAGTGAGCCTAAGGGTCGAGGGGACTGGACAGTATGAAGGTGCAGAGGACCCAGTAGTCTTGGAACGTATGGGGAGCAGACAGGAGGCCAGGGCTGTGCAACTGTGAGGGCCATGGCAATATGGAGCGAGCATGACCTGGCCAGACTCTGCAGTACCAATTTCAGGCATCACAGGTTTTTGGGTTTCCTCTCTAGGGTGCTGGGAAGTTTTTGAAGGGAAGTATTTCTGCCAGAACAAGTGGGAATGTGCTGACTTTGCCCTGTTTCTGGTACTTCCCCTTTGTGACCTCTTCCTATGCCCTGAGCCAGGCTGACTTCCTTTCATATCCCAAGATTGCCATGCTTTGGAGCAGTCTTGGCTATTCGTTCTTACCTCCCAGCAGCTCTGGTGTTTGTTTCAGCCATGTTTAATTCCTGCTTGGATTCTGAGGTGCCAGCAAGGCCATGGTGCCCTCTGCAAGCTCCCATTTTTTTTTTTTTATTCCTTGAAGTTATCTGTTCAGTGGTTCACAGTCCCTGGGGCTGAAGGTCTTTGTTTCTGGTCTTCCTCGGCCTTTGTTCCCATGAATCACCGCCTCCCTCTCGCACTTGCAGTTACTTCTCTCATTTTTACCACATTCATCTCCTCCCAGGGATTCAACCTCCAGAGCTTCTCTGTATTCTCTCTCCCCCCAATCTACCTTATTTCAGTTTGAAGTTTCATCTAGTGAGCTAGTCTTGGCAAAATAATGTTCCAAGGTTATTTACTCACTTAAAAAACAACAACAACAACAACTCAGACCTTTATGCGTGTTGATCCCAAATATGTGGGAGGCAGAGATTAGGAAGATTATGCTTCAAAACCAGCCTCTGGAAAAGGTTTGTGACAACACCCCTTCCCTCCCCCCTCATCCCAATCTCAACAAATAAGCCAGATGTGGAAGTTCACCTCTGTGGTTCAGGGAAGGGGGAAGGTAAATATAGACAGGAAGATTAAAGTCATCCTGAATAACAGTGTTGATCCTGGACAAGATCCTATCTAAAAAAAATAATAACCTAAAGCAAAAAGGGCTAGGGGTGTAGCTCAAGTGGCAGAAGAACAAAGCCATAAGTTTAAACCCTAGTACCACCAAAATAAAACACATACTATGAGCAAGCACCTACTATCTGCAAGGGAATGAACTTCATGCTTTCTATAAAACCACAATGACCTATTAATCATAACACCACCTCCTGAAAGTTAGATGCAGTTATCTTCCTCTTATAAATGAGGAAACTGAGGCTCAAAGACCACACATAATAAATGACAGAGCTGGGTCTAGATTTAGTCTGTGACTAACAATAGTGTTGGAATTTAATTGCTCTTGTCTGGTACAGTCTGGCTTAGTTCTTAGTCTCAAGTCACTCTTGTGAGATGTTTCCTCTCCTCTCTTCCCTTAAAAAGTGCAATTTCACATGGAAAGTGAGCAGAGACCCTCAGAACCATCTGTTTCCTGGCCTGTGCCATGCTTGGGTATGAGAGCCATGCCTCTGTTTTTCAGAGCACATGTAAGTTTTGTTAATTAGTGAACACTGACTCCTGCTCCCATTTTATAGCCATGAGCTAAGTCTCTTCTTAGAACCCTCCCTGTTGTCCAGTGAGGAGATGGAAAGTAGATAAGGCAGTAAGGGGCAGCTTAACTTAGGTCTTGTAAGAGACAGAATTATCCAGAGATGGAATCAGTTGTCCCAAGGTGAGACAGGTACTTTCCTACCACTAGTGACATGTATCGTGGAAGGGATGATCAATATTAGGCAAGGATCCTTGGAGATATTTCTCAACCTTGAGAGATTAGGATTCTGAACTCTGAATAGTATAGAGTAGAGCTAGAAAGTTCCTAGGACCCCACTTTCTCCCCCCATCATTGTGCCTATTGCCTTCCTGGACAGAGCAAACACAACTCTAAGACAGCTGAGCCATGCCCCAGCCCACACAATGGGCAGTTGCATTTGGCTCTCAGCTCCACTGAGCTTTACATAATGGTGATCAGACCCTCTAGAGTCTGGGACCATCAGCATGTGAAGGTATAGGAATTGCCTCCAGTGGCAACAGATGACTGGAGAGCCCTGATGACTCTTCATCACAGAAGTTGTGTGGAATTGTGTGTCGAAAGAAAAAGGAACACTCATACAGGAGGCAGAGGCCAGAGATGTCAGAACCTATACAACAGCTACTAGGATTTTTCACTCTTTGAGATAAGGGCCTTCCTGTGTAACCCATGCTGGCCTCCAACTTGAGATCTCTTCCTGCCTCAGCCTCTGAACTGTGGGAATTATATGCATGTACCATCTCACCTGGCCATCATTATATGATGATGGACCTAAATCATGTTGTGATCTTAGGTGCATAATGTGGAACTTTGGTAATTTTTCTTTGTCCTGTATTTGATTTTCAGTAATAGGAGGAGGAGACAAAGCAGACAAAAGAAGCTATGACTTCTGATGCGAGTCATGCACTGGAAGCTGCCCTGGAGCAGATGGACGGGATCATTGCAGGTAGGCCTGGGATCACAGCGGCTGGACTGTGAACCTCTGCATCTCACAAATGATCTCTCACTTTACCATTTGTTTTGTTTATTCCATAGACAGAACCCCTTTGTTAGATTGATTTTTTAAAATAACCTTGTACCATATACTCTCTCTCCCTACCTCCTTTCTCTTCTCCTTCCCCTCCTCTCATTCTTTTAATATATAAACCTGCAGAAGTCTTGATATCTAGTGAGACTCTTTAAGGTTCTGTGGAGACAGTATGTATGTACCACATGTGTTTGTAGATTTCTTGTCACAATTTGGATGCCACTTGTGAGGCAGTTTGGTTACAGTGAGATGGATTCTATTGTTAACTTTTCAGAGTGCATCACAGTTTGTCACAGCCAAGCAGACACTCAAAATCCAACAGATTTTTGCCCACCAAATCAATGGCTGCTCACTTCTCCAGCAGGCATCCAGTGCATTTAGGAGATGGCAAGGCAGTGTTGTATTGATTGACTTGTTGAGTACTTGCAATGTTCTGTATGCCATAGTGGCTTTTTACTTAACTGATTGGTATTAATGTTTTCATTAGACAGTAGGGAACCTTTTCAAGAAAGGATCTAGCAACATGGTGGCTGCTTTTGGAAGGATGACTACTGGGCTGTTTTGAGTGATTAATTCCTTGACAGGAACAAACAGATCTTTGCAAAAAGTTACAGGTCATTTTTTTTTTGTCCTTACCTGATACAGTTTAGTGGCCTTACCTTCTGATGGGGTATGCTTCTTTGAGACTTAGCTCCCCATTGTGTGAACCGAGGCTGGAGGAGACTCCAGGAATTACTCAGGATACTCGACACTGCTCATTTTCAATCAGTTACTTTTTCCTCCCCTTGAAGAAATACATATTACTCAAGGAGGTTTTGGAGCTGGTGTGGGGAAGCTCTCACATCTTTCTCAGAGTATGGGTTATACTGTAACATGGTCTAGCATTCATCTCTCAGGCTCTTAATTTTTATATGAACAGAAAGGCCTTCGAGAGGTCATGACTAATGTTATGCTTTTCAGAATGGGATGTTCTGTTCTAGATTAACAATCTCTGATCTCTGAAACCATCCAGAGAGTGAGTATCTTAGCAATATTTTTAGAAAGCTTGTTCTGGAGGCTCCCATGAGCTTACTTGGATTAAGAGCTACAGTCATAACCTCCGACTGGCTGAGAGAGTCAGCACTCTGAGCCGCTTCTGTCCTGACCACAGACGACCAAGCCTGTGGCAGAGCTCTTGGATGGTTGTGTAAGATGAATGAGAATACTGCCTTTTCCTCATTATATTTGCCTTATCCAAGATCCTTTGATCATTTCACTATAGGCTCTATTTCTAGGCTTTCTGTTTGATTCCATTGATATATTTGTTCTTTTGCAAAATCATACTATGTTGATTGCTGTAGTTTATAGCAAGTCTTAAAACCACATTATTCTAGTCCTTGAGTTTTGTTATTTTCCTTCAACACTGTGTTAGTCACCTGGGTCTTTTATTCTCCCACTCTCCATTAAAATTTCAGGATTGATATATCAATAACCACAAAGTAGTTTGCTGGGATTTTGCTTGCGATTTTTATTAAGAGCTATAGATCAGGATTTTGTATCAGATATTGGGAATGGGGAAGGATTAAAGACTAGGTCCAGTGTCAATAATGATTTGTTTCTAATAGAAATGACCATTGTTCAAATTCCAGTAAGATGTTAACCTTTGATCTAATATTCCTCCTCAGTAGTCCCTGTGATTCTGTCTGCAAAGAGCACTATAATTTAATTACACTGTTGAGGGTTGTAATTGAACAGTATATTACTTAATTACATCTCTGGGTGGCACTGAGCAACTACCACGAATACAGATTTTATATAGGACTTGATTGAAGACTAACGGTTCAATGGCTACCCTATCAGGCCACTTCTGGCCTGGTGCCAAGGCCATTTGGTCAGGACACAGGGCCACTTAATCCTCTTTGCCTTGTTGAGATATTGCTCGCACAGTTATCTACAATCTGTACTCATTGATGAGGAGTAGTTAGAAGGAGTCTCTTTCATGACATTTAAGAAAGAGATTGCCCTGTCTGCTGGCCTTTTCTGCCAATCTGATTAATGTCTGGGTTCACAGGAAGAACAAAAGGAAGAAAAACAAGTTTTTGTGGTAGTAGAAAAATTTCCAGTTAAGACTGAGATGCTTCAGCTTGACACATGAACCTGAGCTTGGTATCAATGGCTGAGGATGATTCTGTGCCTTGAACAACCTTAACCGATCTTGTCCACAGCTTCTTTGATGTGCTCAGCATACAACACTCAACAGCAGCAGAGCAGGAGAGCCTGAACTTGTCTTTTGTTTCCTGCCTGTAATCTCAGCACTTGAGAGGTTGAGGCATAAGGAACTGGAGTTCTAGGCCAGCCTGGGGTTCAGGCTGTCTGAAATGTCAAAAATAGACAGATGATGGATAGATAAGTAGATAAATACATAGACAGACCGACAGATAACAATAAGAAAACAGGAGTGGAGCTAGAGTTATCTAGAGGGCTGATCTTACTATGAAGAGGTCAGAATGGCTGCTGTGATAACTAGCATTCAGCAGCCAACCTTCCTTTTTTTTTTTTTAACCTTGTTGGCAGAATCTACTTCCTAATTCTTGGTGTGAATATGGCTTCATTAGGACTAGAGTTGTTTGTTCCTTAGATATTGTAGTTATTGATTTGGGAACAGAGTTTAAAACTATGTGGACCTATAATTTGGGTTGTTTTTGTTAGAGGATTTTCTGTTATTTCTTTTCTCTTCTTATTTCTTGTATTTTACCTTTTTTTCTTTTCTCTTGTTTTGTTTTTTAGTTTTATGGGTAGTCTTTCTCTCTCTCTCTTTTTTTTTTTAACCAATACTAGATTTAACTCTAGGTCTTGTGTTTGCTAGATAGGCAAGCATTATTTTCATTTTTGGGTCCTGGAAAATTATGTTTTCTAGGAGTATGTCCAGGATAGTGAAGATTGCAATTTTTTTCCACATAAAGTTGCTCATTACATTTTTCTCTTAAGAACTACTGCACTTGTCACATCTTGATTTTACTCATAATATTGCTTACTTGTGCCTTTCTTTGAGAACCAAACTTGACAAAATAGTTTTTCTCCTTATTATTGTCAGAGAACTACTTTTGTAGTGAGAACTACTTTTGAGTGAGATTGTCTCAAAAAGTTTCAATGTATTATTATGCAAATACTTAATGTATATATTTATCTATATGTATCTCATAGCTATTGTATATGTATTCTATATGTATTTGATTTAATTTCCTTGTATTTGTTTATCATTTTCCTCTCTGCTTTCTTGTACATATCTGTTATCTTTCAAAAGCTCAATTGTGTAAAAGTGCTATAATATTACATTTTTTTTAAAATTTTATTTTATTTTATTTGAGAACATACTGTACAGAGGGGTTACAATTACATGGGCAGGATAATGCATACATTTCTTACCAAGCATTGCAGCCTCTTCCTTTGTTTACCCTTCACCTCCCTTCCCAGCCTCCCCCCTCCCCCCCACCCAATCATACCCCCCCACACACCGACATTGTAAAGCTGGTTTTGACATGACATTTTGTACTTCTCATTGTTGCAACAGGTCCACCTGAATCCTTAAACGACTTGTTTGTCCCCATCTCCTCCACATGTTATACTGACATCAAATATAGTGAAAGCGGGGGTTACACTGTGGGGGAGGGACATACAAAGCAACAAAGAAATAATCTTATAAATGCGTTAGAAACACATGCATGAAAGAAAAAAAAACATTAAAATACATATTTAAGGGTTCGTTTTCCTAACATCACATTATCTGACCTTTTCCGCTTGACTCATACCTATACTAGATATTGCAAATAAGGGAAACCATGGGACCTATGTTTCTTTGGGCCTGGCTTACTTCACTTAATACAATTTTTTCCAAGCCTTTCCATTTCCTAACAAATGGGGAAATGTCATTCTTTCTGATGGAGGCATAGAATTCCATTGTGTATATATACCACATCTTCTTGATCCATTCATCTACTGAGGGGCATCTAGGTTGGTTCCATATCTTAGCTATGGTAAATAATGCTGCAATAAACATAGTTGTGCTGGTAGCTTTAGTGTGGTCTTTTTTGTAAACATTAGGGTAAATGCCCAAAAGTGGGATTGCTGGGTCATAGGGGAGTTCTATGTGGAGTCTTTTGAGGAACCTCCATACTGCTTTCCAAAGTGGTTGAACAAGTTTACATTCCCACCAACAATGAAGTAAGGTTCCTTTCTGTCCACATCCCCTCCAGCATCTGTTGTTAGAGTTCTTGATTTTTGCTGTTCTAACTGGAGTGAGGTGATATCTTAATGTTGTTTTGATTTGCATTTCTTTTATGGCTAGGGATGTTGAACATTTCTTCATGTGTCTATTGGCTATCTTTCTTTCTTCTTCAGAGAAGCTTCTCTTTAAGTCTTTCGCCCACTTATTTATTGGGTAGTTGTTTCTTTGAGGATTTGTTGTTGGGGGGTTTAATTTTTTGAGTTCCAAGTATATTTTAGATATGAGACCCTTGTCCGTTGTATGGCTAGTAAAGATCTTCTCCCAATCCGTGGGCTTTCTATTGATCTTGTTAGCTATGTCATTTGCCCTGCAGAAGCTCTGCAACTTTATGCAATCCCATTTGTCCAACCTTTCTTTGATTTGTTGTGTTTCCGGGTCTCTATTCAGAAAATTTCGGCCTGAGCCAAGGAGATAAAACTCTCCCTCTTTGCAGATGACATGATCTTGTATTTAAAGAATCCCATAGACTCCACTCCCCAATTACTAAAGCTGATTCAAAACTTTGGCAAAGTAGCAGGTTATAAAATTAACCCCCCAAAATCAATGGCTTTTCTGTATGCCAACAATGAGAAAAGTGTGGCTGAAATTAGGAAAGCAACTCCATTTGTAATAGCCCCACAAAAAATAAAATACCTAGGAATTAACTAAAGAAGTG